CACATATGGAAGTTAGAGGACACTCTAGAGAACCTGGCTCCCGCCCTCCAGGCAGGTCCTGTAGCTTGAACTCAGGTCACCAGACTTAGTGGTAACACGTCTACCAGGGTCTCTCTGGCCACTGCATATATTTTTAACTAGCACTAGAAGAAGGATGTCAGAAGGAAGCCCTGGTATTCGGCAGAAGCAGTCAACCACAACTCTAACGCTGGAAGCTCTCGGGTCTTGTTTAAGAATAAGCTCAGGCTGACGGCTCTGTTGGTGATGGAGGTATTTTCTCGGACGGTGGGATGGTTATCCCCACACATCTCAATCACTTGGCTACAGCGGATTCCTATCAGTCACAGCTGAGCCGCTGAACACTGCGAGAGAAACCTGGAGGAGGCAGGGTCCTCCCAACTTTAGAGCGGTTTTCTACGACAGAGGTTCCTACTCTTATTTTGGACCAGCTTATCAGTTTTGGATCAGGTTTTATAACTCTCTCCTGGGCCTGGACTGGGCTCAAAGGCATAAGAATATGTGAGAAGAATTCACTAGAATTCACCTGTAGTTTCTGGATCATTTCTAGAGAAGGGGAAGTAGGGACGCCGGTGAGGGAAGCATTGCTTGTATCTCTTTGCTCCTTTTAGGGTACAGAGTCCCGGTTCTCGGCACCCTGTGCACAGAGCTCAGCTGCCTGTCTGGACAGACGCTGCTGTTCATGGGTAGGAAGGTGCAGCCATCCAGTGAACCTGGAGCTTGGAGGAGTGGACCGTTCTATTTCACCTCTACCCTCACACTAGACAGAGTCAACTTTCAGTCTTCTAGAGAGTCATCTTTGGGTCAATTATCAAGTGAGCATGCTCTTTCCTTTTTCTCTGGAGAGCTGCCAATAGCTTTTAGATTTTTTTTTTTTACTTGAGAAAAATCACACCCCCACACGTGTGCTTGGTGCCCATGCAAACCAGATCCAGATCCCCTGAGCGGGAGTGCAGATGGTTGTGAGCTAGTTGTGGGTGCTGGGATTCAAGCCTGGCTCCTCTGGAAGAGCATCCAGTGCTCTTAACCATTGAGCAATCTCTCTAGCCCCAACCAAAACCTTTACACTGGTGTGTGTGTGTCCATGAAGTGTTATTAAAAATACCAAAACTTTCATTTCTCTTTTATTAACCTGACAAGAGACAATATTTCCCTTCTTACTTTCTGCTACTTTTTCTTTTCCAGTTGTCAATTATAATTACCAAACATAAAACAACAACAAAAGCAAAACAAAAAACCAAAAGCCTAAATATTGGGAGGGTGAAGGTCCTTGCACCCACAGCTCTCCAGGGAAACCAGGAATGTTAAGCAGGCAGGATTGCCCTCTCAGAGGATAGGATATATAACCTGTTTTTCTGTCCAGAAGACTGGGAACTGGAGGTGATTAACAGCCTGGTGACCTGCATTATCTGAATGTGCATATCACATTCCGACAACTAGGACCAGAGGTGGCTAATAGTCTAAATTGCCCTTACATTGTCTATATAGCCAGGGGCTCCCCTAAACTCCCACAACCAGGACCAGAGGTGGCTAATAAATAGCCCAGATTTCCTCTGTATGCCAATACCTGTATGCCTGAGACCAAGCCAGGTCCTTCCCTAGTCCCTTAAGTTAGTACAGGTAGCCTGTCTCTAGAATCCATGTTCTTGGAAGAAATATAACTTGGAGTTTCAGTGTAATTATGTGAAGATTGTATTAGACCAGGAAACTTTTCCCAAATTTTACTGGGTTTAAATATGCTGTCAATAAACCGCCTGGCACCAGACTCCCACAATTTGATCTTACCTCTTCAAGGGTCATTTCGCTGCCTGTTGTGACACCTGCAGAAACACCCCCCCCCCTTACATTTGAGTGCATCTTTGTCCATTTCAACACATTGGAGGCTGAGGCAGGAGAATCATGCATTCCAGCCCAATCTGGGCTATTTGGAGAGAACTTTTCAGCAAAACCAAAACAGGATCAACAAGATGGCTCAGTGGGTAAGGGTAGACTGCCACGTCCATAGACCTGAGCAAATAAGATCCCCAGAACCCATATGGTGAAAGGAGAAAACCCCTTTCCAAAAGTTGTGCCCTGACCTCCACACATGTGCTGTGGCATGCATGACCACACAGATACACAAAGACACATAAAGCAGATCAATAAACTACAAAACAACAGCGAAAACAAAGTCATACGGAAAAGACTAAACTTGAAGACGTTTGCCAGGTCTTGAGAGTAACCAAATCCTTCAACCTTTCAGCTTTCACCAGACCCTTTGAGACTAGGTACAACAGTAACTGTCCTGGCAGAAGCAAAGGTACCCTGGACACTTGTGCCCACCCCTCCTCCCCCATCTGAATGCTGAAACAATGGACTCTGAGGATGTGGGATTTCTCCAGAAAAGCTCATTCTGGGAGAAGGGACCTCCTGAAGCCCAGTGCCATCGGCAGGAGGAGGAACTTGTCTCTCAGAAAGAGATTTCAGAGAACTGACAGCTTGTTAGACCACCTTGTAGGACAGACTAGATTCCAGACAAGGATGGGTCAGTGATGATCAGGGCCAGGACTTGACAGGACTGCTTGACTATGCACATAGCTCTTGCCCTCTGTTTAAACCCAAACCTCACTTCAGTACCTGAAGATGGAGGTGGGGCTGCCAAACCTCTCTGTTTATTCTTCTTCCTAACATGGACACATCGAATAAAACCTTCTTTTATTTTGCGCTCTTCTAGTCTCTTTCACTGACAAATTGAGGACGGGTGACTGATTATCCTATTTCTCAGAGAAGGAAACTGAGTCTCAGAGAGGTAAACAGAAGGAGATAAACCAAGGCAGGTGAGGGCTCAGTTTCACTTCTTCCTCCCTTGACAGCCATTCTTTCTCTCTCTGCCCAGGGCAGAACCAATACAGCATGCTGCCATTCTGTTTGTACCAAGATGCCATGAAAGTGTAGGTTGATGGGGAAAAAATCCGCTGAAACCGCTCATATGGTAGGAAAGAAGGGCTCAGGCTATCTGCAAACAACTTTCCTTTGGGCACCAGTCCTACAAAGGGAATTCCCCCTTTGCATCAAACCTAGGAACAGCTGTTTTCCCACTCACTCCTTGTTGCATCTGCAAAGGGAGGAGCTTGGCAGTGCCCTCGAAGCAGCCAGCGCTTGCATTTTTCTCACCCTCACCCACAGAGACGGTTCCTTTACCTTGCAAACATCCTTGTGCGTCATTCACTGCAGTGCTGTCTCTTAGGGTGAAGTCTTAGAGTTTCTATTGCTGCAGCTAAACACCAGGACCCAAAAGGCTCACACATCCATATTGCTGTTCACTATTAAAGGGAGTAAGGACTGGAACTCAAACAGGGCAGGGTCCTGAAGGCTGGAACTGATGCAGAGGCCATGGAGGAGTGATGCTTACTGGCCTTCTTTCTTACAGAACCCAAGACCACCAACTCAGGGATGGCGCCACCCACCTTGGGCTGGGCCGTCCCTCCCTCATTGATCAGTAGTTGAGAAAATGCCTTACAGGTGTGTCTCAAGGAGGCATTTTCTCAGCTGAGACTCCTTCCTCACTGACGACTCTAGTTTGTGTCAAGTTGACACAAAACCAGCCAGTGCAGGTGACAATACCTTGTAGACATCCTTAGTTCAGGAGTTCATGGTGGCCTCAGTCCTTCCTCATATGCCCCCTGAGTGTAGCATTCCCCAAACCTTGGAACACAGATATGAAGCATCAAGATGTGAAGCCCTGACTTAAAGCAAGTTTTAAATTGGTTTCTTTCATCAGTGTCTATAATTTCTAGACAGGCTGCCATGTTGTGAGCCTTGCCAGTCTCCTGGGTCCACAGTGACTTCCTGGCATAAACAGACTTTGCTCCTGGGACCCCACGGCCACCACCTGTCATTCCCTCCCAGCGATCCCGGCCTCACCTCTTTCCTTCCTGGTCCTGTAGCCTGAGCCCCATGTGCAAACCCACAGAGTCTGTCTGGTTATGTAAGTTTCCCATCACTGAGTGGGGTGACTCAGTACCAAGGTGATGCCCTGCTTTTCCCCAGCCCCAGGCGGCAGAGAAACTGGAATGAAAAACAAGTCCTGCTAATGGGGTCCAGCTGAGAGCCTCACTTTCTCAGCCAGCCTGGCAAATCCTCTGAGCTCAGGGAACTGTCCTGGCCAGTGGAATTCTCCAGCTTCCTGCTCATTCCCTGGTTCCTCTTCCCCTTCTCACCTTGGCTGAGGATCAGAATGGTTCTGATTCAGTTCCGCTTTGCCCCAGGCCTACTCTTTTGAGAGTCCCAGCTATGGGCTGAGATATCTCCCATTTTTTCCATTTTTTTCTTTTTTCTTTTTCTTTCTCTCTTTCTTTCTTTCTTTCTTTCTTTTTTTCTTTCTTTCTTTCTTTTTTTTGGTTTTTCGAGACAGGGCTTCTCTGTAGCTTTGGAGCCTGTCCTGGAACTAGCTCTTACTGGCCAAACTGGCTTCGAACTCACAGACTAAAGGCACGCACTACCACCGCCCAGCCTCCCATTTTCAAGTTCATATACTGAAACCATTATTCCCAAGGTGATGGTATCAGAAGATGGGACCTTTGGGAGACGACTGGGTTCAAAGAGGTCAATGAGGGTGGAATATCTGTGATGGGATTGGTGTCTTCGTAGGAAGAAGGTCTGAGACACCGTGGAAGGGAAAGAGATACAGTCTGAAACACAGGAAGTCCCCTGTAGTAGACTACTAGCCTATGGCATGCCAGCGCTCAGATCTCAGACATTCCACCTCCCAATGTCTGTCGTCCAGGCCGCACAACTATGCTCAGGCAGGAAGTGAGTCTGGTGTGGAAGAATGTACAGACTGCCGCTCAGCCTGGACACAAACTCTCTCCTCAACTGTGGGATCACCACAGAGTAAAGGCATTATTCAGGAGCACTGGTGACAGCAAGGACAGACCGTGGTTGACTTCGGACTCATCCCTGACCTTCCTCATCCTCTTTTCTCTTTTCCAGAACAGATAGAAGGCTCTGGAAGAGGTTCTCCCACTGCCCAGGCACGGAGGACCCACGTCTGCCTGAGAATGGTTGTTCATTCCATTCATTAGCACCAAGTGTCAAGCCCCTACTTTACGTGGGCTCTTGCTGCCAGTGGGATATGATGAGATAGGAGCAATCTTGTCTGCATAGAGCTACACAAGGTAAAGAGAGGACCAACATGGAGAGAGCAGATACCTACTAACTGGTAAGTACTCCGTGGAAGATAAACAGAATGGATAATGACTTGGAGGAAAAACTCTGATTGAAAAACCTCTATCTACAATGTGAGGAAACGTCTGGAAGGGGTGGGAGACAACAGAAGCAAAAATGCATTAGAAAGTACATGGTGCAACACAGCAATCAAGCTTAATATAAACAAATCAAACGCCATCTTTGGACTTTGCCCATTTCCTGTCTGAACATAACAGCCTCGTGTCTGACAAGCATGTTAGAGCTGTTTAAGTCACCCAGGATCTCAATGTTAGGGTCCCTGTAAGGAGGGGGTAGAGGACATATTGGCCAAGTAAAAGTTATGGTCCCTGTGAAGACGTGACAATCCAGGATCCAGTCTATATAGAGAGATGCTCTCAGAGATGTGCACATCCTTTGCACCCTTTTTATATTAAGAATTGCCTTGTATTTCTGGAACAACTGCTAAAGGACAAGGGTCCCCAGCTCCTAGAAGCTCAGGATACAACCACCCCCTTCCCCACACCCTAGGCCCTGAGAAGGCTACAGTCTGTCCCTCTTTGAGACCATGTTGACTATAGTCCACTCTGCTTGTTATTTTGCTTCTCAGTCCAAGGAGGTGTCTAAAATCACAGTGTTTCTGCATGCAGAATTCTCTCTGGACAAATGACGGGGGGTACAGGGCTTCACCACACTGCCATCCTCTGGGAAGCCCAGTGGTAAAGTTCATTGACAGTGTTGAGAACTCAAAAGGCTATCCAGGTAGGGTGCAGCAGGGATTGGTTTCAGACTGTCCCTGGGCATCTTTCCTTAGATTTCCTTAGAGCCAAGTTTACTGGACAAGGGATCTTGATCCCATGTTCCCTCCTGCACTGGACAAGACGTCTTGATCTCAGGTTCCCACCTGTCGGACACAAGGCCTGATCTGAGTTCTGGGCCTCTTGAGTTCTGACATTCAGTAGGCCTGTTCCTTCAGGAAGACAGTGTTTTTCTAACTCCAGTGAATTCTCTAAGAGCTTCCAGGGATGTAGATTGGAAAGCCTGCTGAATCGGGAGCACAATGAATGGAGTGTAGACATTTGTCCCTTGGTGAACTCTAACCTGTTCCTGTTTCTCAACAACCCCTCCCCCTGCCCCATACCCCAGCTCTTCCTAACTTCCCAGGCTTTGACATTAATGATGCTCTGTCAGAATGTCCTTTCTCTGACTCCTTATAAAGGCAATTCCCTCTCAGCCGGGTGGTGGTGGCGCATGCCTTTAATCCCAGCACTTGGGAGGCAGAGGCAGGTGGATCTCTGTGAGTTCGAGGCCAGCCTGTTCTACAAGAGCTAGTTCCAGGACAGACACCAAAGCCACAGAGAAACCCTGTCTTGAAAAACCAATAAATAAGTAAATAAAAATAAAAAAAAGATAAAGGCATCTCCTTCTCTTTTAGGTCTCACCTCAGATGTCACCTCCTCAGAGAAACTTTTGTTTTCTTCTCTTTCTGACCTGTCCTTCCTTATTTATTTTGTCTACCACTCTAACTTTTTTGTTTATGCATCTATTTATTGTTTATTACAAATTCCCACCAGCAAAGGACCTTGTGGTGTTAAGTGCTACACAAGTCAGTACTTAGCAAATATTTGTAGAACAAATGTGATCTGGGATGCCCTTCTATATGCTGTGAATATGTTTTATTACTATTGGTTAATAAAGAAATTGAGTTGGCTAATAGTCATATAGGATAGACCCAGGCAGGAAATCCAAACAAAGATACAGGGAAAAAGAAGGCAGAGTCAGGGAGCTACCAGAAAGCCCTGGGGAAGCAAGATGTGAGGTAACAAGCCACGAGGCTCATGGTAAAATATAGAATAATAGAAATAGGTTAATTTAACTTGTAAGAACTAGTTAATAATAAGCCTGAGCTAATAGGCCAAACAGTTCATAATTAATATTAAGCCTCAGAGTGGTTATTTAGGAACTGGTGGGTAGGAGGAAAACCTCCAGTTACACAAATGAATATGTAAAGAAGATTTAAGACCCGGGGTATTCAATCTATAGTATTTGATCAAATCATCCCAGAAACCTATAAACATTTACTTAATCTTCATTTTGAGAGGAACATGTCTACCAGGTTCCAAGTGCTCCTCCTACAAATGTACCTGAGAGCCACTTCCTACAGGAAATCCCATCAACACCATACTAATATACCATCATGCTTTATGGTTTGGTCAGTGCAGGATGGCTTATGTGATGGTGGCCTGTTGGTCTGAGAAATCCATATTGCTTAGTGACATTACTGTCCTCATAGTGTGGGATCCAATGCATTTCTTGTGTTGTGATAGTGATGTGTAAACAAGTCTACTGTTCAGTCGGTCACACAAAAAATACAGTATGTTTAGTCAAGGTACAGGCCATAATACTTGATTGTGATAACACAAGTCTGTGTTGCTTGCTCACATATTAATCATTACCATTGCTTTATAGTGTGTACTCCTATATATATTTTTAATAACCATTATAAAATAATACATTGTGTCTGATCAATAGCACCTCTTATACCTTGTGTTTACTGGGTGCGCTCTTGCTTAGCTTATTTTCTCTTGTGCTTGATTTATTTGTATTTGCATTTTTGAGACAATCTCAGCTAGTCTATGCTGGCCTCAAACTTATTATAAAGTGGAGGATGGTTTCAAACTCCCAAGTGGTGAGATTACAGGCATATGCTGCTAAATCTGAATTTTATTGATTTGTTTTTATTGTTTAGGAGATATGATGGTTTGAATGAGGCTGGCCCCTATAGGCTTATATATTTGTTGTTGGACCTTTGGAAAGGATTAGCTCTCTCTCTCTCTCTCTCTCTCTCTCTCTCTCTCTCTCTCCACACACACACACACACACACACACACACACCTCTTGACTGTATCACAAGATGCAAGCTCTCAGTTACTGCTCCAGTGCCCAGCGCTCTGCTTGCCTGCCTGTCGCCATGTTCTCTGCCATGGTGGTCATGATCTTCAACCTTCTGGATCGGTGACCCCAAAACTAAATGCTTTCTTTTATAAGTTGCCTTGGTCATGGCGTTTTGCCATGGTAATAGAGAAGTTACTGAGCCAGGTTTGTTGCTGTTACCAGGTCTCACTATTTAGTTCAGGCACTTGTCACCACGTCTGGCTTGTGCTTGATGTAATCATGTTTCCTTTATCACAACCTTAGAAACAGTAGGCTAAATGACATAGACAGGTATTTATTAGCTATATAGCCTAAGTGTGCACCTGGCTCTAGCATCTAGGTGTGTGTCATTTAGCCTACTGTTTCTAAGTATCAGCGAATCAATCCCACACCAGTTATGTTTTAAGGGGTTATTAATTTTGGGGGGTAAAACTTACATACACCATAAACCATCAGGAAGGGAGCCTAGTCGCTGGAGCAGGAGCCGGAACCAAGAGGGCCTGATCCGGGATCTGTGGCTCTTTTTAAAAGAGAAATATACCACGCCCCAGTGGGCTGGTATTTCAGCGGCTATTGGCTGACAGAGCGGAAGGCGCTCCCCGCAGCACTGTGGGCTCCTGCTTCAGCGACTATTGGTTGAGGCAGCGGAAGTTACTCCCACAACACCTCCCCCTTTTGTTTAAGTAAGAGAGTTCTAAGCCTACTACGAAATTATATACAGTAAGTACAAACCTACACAATTATATACAATAAATACAAATATCCTATTCTAACTAGCTTAAGTCTTGTATAAGAAATAACTTGGCCAAGTCATGAAAGGAAAGTAACTACATTTATATAATCTTCAATCCCATCAAAGATCTGAGAAGGGAAATAATGTTACCTGAGTAATTAGGAAGTGCAATCAAACTTCCAGAACATGTAACAAATCACAGAGACAACTGGCTACCTGGGCAAACACCCAAAATCACGTTTGCAGCGTTGAAGCAACCAACTTTGGCTAAGGCCTAACGTAACTGACATACCATTTTCAAAGGCAAGGAACTTTTCAAAACTATCTTATCCTGTCTTGGCAGGATATGACAGTCCTGTTTTATCCATTTACGGATACTCTGTAACTCTGTCAGTAGTTGAGGTATGGGCATTTCTTTACCCAAAGGCCAGTTCTGCCAAGAAGAAAGGCTCCAGGTGGAGTGTCTTTGGTGCTCAACATTCTCTCGGGAATAGATCAGTGTTGCCAGGAGCAATTGTGTCTCCCTACCACAGAACTCTGAGTTAGATTAAAGGCCATTTTTTACAGCTCTTTGAAGAGGTTGAAGATTATCTATCTATACTGAATATAATCTCTATGTATCTAAAGAACCTGATTAGTCTAATTATAAATGACAAACTTAGATGACTATTGATCTATATTATTCTCAATATCTATCTAACTTAAAGACTGAAATAGTAAACAACTGTGCAATAAATGGGGACAATATGACCTCCAAATATAAACAATGTGCAAGTATACATTGCAATATGGTAAATATATATCAATACATAAACAATATATAAGTATCTTAATCAGAGGTAGAAGTGTACAATGCAATATGGTAAAATATATCAATACAATATATATATGTCAATACAAAAAAATGTTTTAAACAGAGGTAGAAGCATGCATGCATAAAATAGTCAACATAATTTAACTTTGTATCAATATATAAGAATCAATACCAATATATTTGTCTAAAAACAATAACTCACAAGTACAAAGCTATTATCCCATAATCCAATTATCCCCCCCCCTTTTTTTTTTGAAAGATTTCTGCACTTATAAAATATTGGTTGAGGCAGCGGAAGTTACTCCCACAACATTTAAGGTTGTGATAAAGGAAACATGATTACATCAAGCACAAGCCAGACATGGTAATGCAGTTTTCAGATACCCCATTGTTTAGTGACGCCTGTCTAAGTAAGTCAAGAAGAGCCCAAGGGAAGGGCTTTCAGGCATCCTCAACAGGCAATGGAGTCTACTTACACACACCTAGATGCTAGAGCCAGGTGCACACTTAGGCTATACAGCTAATATATACATGA